CTGGACTGTACTTATTCTCTTCCTAGTGGAGACATTATATTAACAATTTTGCCATTGATATAAAGGGGAACAGGATATCACCCTAGATAATGACATTAATTAAGCCAGGCTTTCTTAATGAAGGTTAATTGTTGGTGCCCTGTGCTTTGTGCATCTGTGTTCAGATGTCTCCCTCTGAATATGTCAATGTCATACAGTAAGTCTTGTGCTTCTTTGCATTTTGTTAGTAAGGTGCCATTTTGGTAATCAGAACGACTTTTCTCATTTTGTGGTGCTAATAGTCCCTTGGAAGTAGGTGCTCGGTTTGGAGATTCCTCAGTATTCGAGGTTGCATTAGTTGGCAACGTCAGCTGGAAGCCACGGAGCAGCCTGCCACTGCAGCTGCACTGTCTGTGGGAAAGCAGCTGGAAAGAGGGTGACAGAAAGAGTCAGACTCTACGACATTTATATCATCCGGTTGTTTCCCAAGTCGTGGTTAGCGTGCAGGTAATTATCTAGGATGGCATCAAATAAAGGACAAGAGATTTGGTCCTTAACCGCATTTAATGCGAAAATGGATGTCTAATGTCATTTATTTCCCCCCTCTCCATAATTCTCATCCTGTCTGGGAACAGTATTTTGTACATTGATTTCATATGAAAGGATACAGCTGTGCTGGAATGAATGGCTTTCATTTCAGAATTGTTTTGGGTTAATACGAGCAGCAACCATGGGAAGTGAGGAAGAGAGGGATTACATGTACAGACATGAAAATTGAGTTGGGGGGAATATAAACTGTCAAAATCCAAGCATTATGGCTCAGGAGTCTGGAAATGATTTTAGAGGGAGTTGAAATAAATTACTAAAGTTAAGTGAATTTAGTGTGAAGGCTTATAAAGTGGCAATTATATGCAGTCTCTTAAGCAAAGAGTTAAGACTTTATAGTGTTATATTTGCCATGTTATTCACAATGTACTCTCTTAATATGCAAAAATACTGATTTCTTTTACAGTAGAGGCACATGTAGCTGAAAACACAAAGAGCTAAGTGTTGCTAGGGTAGGAGAAAAACAAATAACCATAACTGGTTTTGATCTGAGTGGTTTCAAATGGATTTGAGCAAAAGACTAATGAAAAGTAGACAGCTAATCTGATAATGACATTTACCTAAATGAGTACAGATGAAAGTCATCGTCAATAAGCGTAATATAGTAAGATAAAAATTGTTTTTTTTTCTATCTTACATTGAAATTTGTATTATTTTAAATCTCCATGTGTGGAGGGTGCATATCCCTCCATGCAGTGCATAGTCGGTGTTACTCACTACGACCTAAAACTCCATAGCAGCCAGCAGAGGTGGTCACCGGTAGATCTGTGTCTACATTCATGATTCCTTGCAGTGTTTACCAACCAGTTTCTGCATTGCATAAAGCATAAGGGAACAAGACTTTGCTAAAAGGCGAGTGAGAGACTGTGTGTGGGAGACTCAGGAGGAAAAGGTCAAACACACAAGAATAGCCTGCACGTGCTTAAGAGTAACTTAAGCACATAATGTTGCTTAAGTCAGTACATAGCATGTATGTTTATTTCAGAACCACTGGGCATCAAACCCATAAAAGACATTTGTTTGAAATATATTAGTAAAATTGCAGTCTGTATCTTGCTTATGACTGTGGACAAGATATGGGGAAAAGCGGACAGATTTTTCAAAGGCTCAGAATGCAGTTAATCGTTCATCTCCTTTGCTGAGTCATCTGCTCTGGTATTTTAGTTACTTACCCAATAAGTGAACTGCTTGGTTGCACGTAGGAAAAATGTTAGATGTTAGTGGGAGAGTCAGAGAGAAAAAGCAACTGAAGCTGGAGACTTCTGAGGGGAATGGAAATGACTGATTGGTGGGAGAAATTGGAGAAGGGCTTTTAGCAGATGTTATGAAAGTCAATTATAAAAGCACCTTTACAATGAGCAGGTTGTATCCTATCAGACTAATCATTTTATCTCCGGGCTATATTTCTGTTTACAGTCTTCTCTATTTTTTTTTTCCTTCTTGGTGATGAAGTAACCATTTGCAGATCGTGCTCTGACCAGTCCTACAATCTAAATAATAGAGAAAAAGCTGCCTATGTATGCCTGAACAGATATGCAGGGCATGGACTTTAAAAAAGAAGTCACCCTGACTTAAAAATCCTCTGTAGGAATCTTCTCTTAGGCTTCTCCAAGGAGCTACGTCAGACCATTGGTTGAAGTAGACCCTGACACAGTGTGTCTCCTTGTATGAATAGAAACAAGCAGAAGATATTCTGCTTGTCTGGCCTGCCCTTTCCCTCCTTTGGCTGCCCCAAACAATGCTGAATAGCTGTAGGCGTATGTGAGTGATGTAATTGCGCTAGTACCTGTTCTCAGAGAGAGCTTGACTCTTCTGGACCTGTCTCAAAGCTGGTTGATTTTTACAGGCTATACATAAAATTCTCCAGTGCAGTGGAAGGAAGATAAGGCCTTTAATTTAGCTCGCATCACAAAAACAGAGCATAGGAGTCTATGAATAGGTTAAAGTATGAAATATTGTGTTTTGGCTCATAGAAGACACTATGATATTTATTTGCCAAATAAAACAGATATTTTCAAGGGAAATTTTCTTGAGCCTCTCACTTCTTTAGCAGATTAAGAGATTCCATTGGCCCTAACGCACGATCTTCCAAAAATATTTAAGTTAATTAGTCATATGTTCCATTAGCATAGTAAAAACCTATGTTAATGTGACCTAGTCGAGATTTTATCAAACACATCAAGTGTAAAAGAGGAATGTTTTCTTTAATGCACAGAAACTGGACAGAATGATTCCAAGTTCTTTATCTTGGCTTAACAATCTGTTGTACCTTTTGAAGATATATAGCTTGCATTGTACCATTTTATTTGCCAAAGAGGGCCAACACAGTGAGTGCCATGGACATTTTGGAAGCTTGCAGGCTGTCAAAATAAAAATCCTCATGTTGAAAGGAACAGGCTTCATGATCATGCTGGGGGCTTTTTTCTTTCACTTGGTTTTAAACACTTGACCTCATGTTAAAAAAAAAAAAAAAAAAAAGAGGTGGGATGCTCCCTTATTAAGGTAAAATTAGCTGGGGTAGGATTCCTGAGCCAGTGCCAAGTTGGCTGATTCGCTCGTGTTAAAGCAGCTCAGCTCTGTGCAGTGAGGCTTGCTTGGGTCCCAAAAGCAGAATAGTCATGTTAATACAGTGCTGCACCACGGCTAGCAAGCACCATCTCTTAGAGTTAAACCCTTCTGACTGGGCCCAGCAGTTCAGCTGCGGTATTGCAGTGATACAGCTTACTATTGCACTTGGAAAGCTAACTCAGGGACACAGGAGTGGATGCTAAACTACCTACAGAGGTAGACCATATTTATAATATTTAATATATATAATTTGTGTATATAATAGTTGTAATATTTATCCCCAAAAGAGCAATAATTCATGTGTCCATGCAAAATTCCAGGTAAGGAATATTTATTTAACTTGTGGTAATTCCTGAAAGCCCTATGTGTCCCTTTGATTTTTTGCTCGACAGGAAACAGAATGTGTCCTAAAAAGCCTACAGTTTTAAGTACCTCTGCTACCTCAGCATTTTTTAATGGATAGCCTTTATGCTTCCAATTCCTGTGTTCCTGTTCCAAAATTAAATATCCTGGTTAACAGTGTGTGGGTTTTATTTATGAAAATATTCTTCTCAGAGAAACAGTTAAAACTACTCCCAAATTCTACAATAAAAACCTATATTTCTATCTCTCTCCCTGCCAATTTGGCTATAGAACATTAGGTACATGAAATGTCCATGAGGATTGAATTGCATACCTCTATTCTTGTAAAGTTTTTCTTTTTGCACCATCAGAGTTGGAAAGATACTAGTTTCTTGGTATTCACTGTGTGATAGTAGATTCTGTTCTTGATCAGTTTTAACTGTAAATGACAGCAGCTTTTAAAAAAAATGCAAATAGTTCCTTGCAGTTTGCAAATGAGCGTTATGTGACTATTGCTACTTTGATTTTGCTTGAGTTAAGCTAGTCGTCTTGGTTTCGTGTGGCTTTGCAAACTTTTAGTTTGAGATTGCTAAATCTAGCTAATTAGCAATGAGGCAGTAAAAGAGCAAGGAGAGAGGAACAGTCAAAAAAAGAAAGGGACAAGTTCCAGTAGTCAAAAACTGGGCTAGCCTGCAAGTTTGCATATGTGATCCACGTATATACATATCATAAAGATACTGAACTTAATATTGTTATTGTTATTGCTATTATTATTCATCAAATGTTGAAGTTTAAGCTAAAAATAGGCACAGTTACAATGAAAATGAAGTCTGTTAATTGTAGCTGTCCCGTATTGTGATGAAGGGCAGGTTACTGGATTTATTTTTACACCTCGGTTGATGTGAATCAGTGTTCTCGCGTTACCTTTATTACACCTATACCAAATTGGCTTACAAGTTTGATGTTTTTTAAAAAAATGGTTAGAATGAGGGAAAAAAAATTCTTTCTCTGTAACGCTAAAATGTGCTATTCCTGAATACTGAAACTCTTACTTGAAGTTAATTGTCAATCTTTAAGCTTGTCTATGTGCTCCCACTTCTGTTTAACTGATGATTACTTTTCTCACCTGCATTAAATGCTAGCTAAGATAGTAGCATTTTGTGTATGTTATCACAAGTGGGAGACAGACATCTACAGCTTTTGATTTGATTTCCAAACATAATTTGGTACCTTACAGAGATGCAGCATATTGCACGTTGTTTTGCTGTATAAATTTTAACACATACTTGATTATGGCTTTTCAAAAATGTGAAACAGCTTGTCCTTTAGTCAATCCTGGTCTGAGCGCGATAACAGGGGATGTGTGAGGAAGGAGGAGGGGATGTGTGAGGAAGGAGGAGGGGCTGTGCCTGTGTGCTCTCGGGACAGCCCTGTGCAGTGGGACCAGCCTATGGTGGGAGATAAGCTGCATGCCATCAAAGGGTCCGTGAAGTTCTTGGAGTTAAACTGATTATGCAGGGAAAGGAGTGAAATGACGATAAAGCACTGTGCAAAGAAACCAAGCTGGGGAAAAAAAACAGAAGAGTGGGTTTTTTTTTTTTTTCCTTGCTTTGTGCTTTTGGTTACTGGAATCCTAATGTTTTTGCAACAATGCTTGGTTGAATGTTTTCAGGCAGAATTGACTTTTTGTTTTGTATTTCTGCGCTCCTTTTAAGGAATGTTGGTCTTAGGAAAACAAAAAAATTTAGAAGGTTAGAGATGTCCAAGAAAATGGCCTTTTAGAAAAAAGTGTTGTTTTTCCTAGCAGTAAAAGAGATGGATATATTTATTAAGCTGTGCATACCATATGATGCTTCATATTTTTTCCATTTGATTTCCTGTAGGGTGATTTCACTTGGAACAGCATGTCAGGGCGCAGCGTTCGGCTGAAGTCAGTTCCCGTTCAAAGCCTCTCTGAGCTGGAGCGAGCTCGACTACAGGAAGTGGCTTTTTATCAGTTACAGCAGGACTGTGACCTGGGCTGTCAGATTACTATCCCCAAAGGTAAGGGCTTAATGAACTGTTTCTGTTTAGTTTGCTAAGCGTCCTCTTGGTAAACCACTGCCTTCATATCACAGTAATAAAGGGGAGAAAATCGAGATTGGTTATTCCGTGGCTGTTGTCATATCATTAATCTTTATTTAAACTTCGTAACTGTAGCAACGACTAGTAATTTTGTTGGTCTTTCTCTGTCATGTCCATGTCAAGCCACTTGGTGTAGGATCATTTGCTCAAGGACAGATGTCTACTGTATAGATAATAGACATCTGATCTATTCATCCTAGGATCCCTTCATACTCAGTTGAGAGAAAAAGGCTTTTCTTACATTTCCTGTCATCCAAAAGGGTACATTTAAGTAGGTCAGATAGAGCACGCCCTAGAAGTGGCGTTTAGCTCTGTTGACTCTAAAGCCAAGGAAGCCAAGCATCTAAAGCTAAGGAAGCCAAGCTCAGACAGTGAAGACATCTCTATCAAGTAAGATCAATTCTATCCAAATTTTCCTGAAGACAGTCGTGATTATTTCCTAGAATACAAGTTAATTTTAGCATGTGACACTGAACACCTGAAGACCAAGAGATTCACTGAAAAGGAAAAGCTTAGCTGTCGGAGTCCTGATGCAGGACAACTGCACATAGACTTGTACTTAGGTTACTGTGCAAGATGTCCAGACCTTACTGAAACTAATGGGAAAGTTTCCATTGCTTTGTGTGGACCGTAGATCAGGCCTAGCAAAGGTGGCTGTTTTGCTATGATACGATCACCTGCAAATCTGTTTTTCCTGCATGTTTTTCCAGTTGCTGTATACTTTATTTAAGGAATAAGAGGAGGCCACTCAATTCTCACCTTTGGCTGTGACCAAAGGTATTGTGTGGCAGCACATGCACAGCAGTGCCACAGGCACAGTTTTTGAATGAATCAAAGTTAAGCAGAACAAAGGTTTCCGCTGTATAAAAACAATGAAGTGGAAAAGAACAAATGTGAGCAACATCAGCCTGGGTATTCTTAAACTTCTTAAATCTGCAGAAAACTCTGGCCAAAAATAACACAGTCCAACTTTCCAATTACAGTAGGGCAAACTCTGTATCAGTTTGGAGTGAGATGGATAGTCAGCTTCTCCAAGCCCCACCACAACTCCCTAGTCCCTCAAAAAATACTCCATCAATATGACAACAATTTTACAGAGCATTCAGATGAGAAATTAGATCGCTAAGGGCACTGCAATATTTTTTGGCAACCTGAAGTTCCAGTGGGTGATGGATATATATAAAGAGAGGAAACACATCCGAGACAAGGGTGTATACATATTAATATTCAGAAACTTTGAGCATTGGAGAGTGAGCATTTGTGTATTATTTTTATGCACTCCTCACTGTTTCCTGCTAGAAATGGCACGAAAGACCACAAGTCTAGGAAAACCTGGGTCTCTGCCCAGTCAGCCTGCTCTTCCTCTTTAAGGTCCTTTGGTAAAAAGTAGTCATAGGCCATTTGGCACAATGCCAGGGCCTCAGAGAATGGGAACTGTTGCATCTTTTGGGTTCAGATCACACCCAGGAACAGCTTTTATAATGACAACACATACATACATGGGTGGTGATATAACATGTAATTATATAGAGAGAGAGTCTGCAAGTAGTATTTCAAGCATAAAAACTAAATAAGAATACTGTAAACTCTGGAAAAGAATCTCAAAATGAAAGGTACTTTCCTGAGCTGCTGTTTCATCTCCAGTCCTACTGCTGACCCCATCATTTCATGTACCTTTCGCTTCAGTTTAGACAAGAAATAAATTACTCTATTCAGTTCTGTCAGATTAGATTTATAAGTAAGATTATTGATAAGAGGCAAATTATCTCATATCTGCATACTTAGTCTGAACAACTAGATCATGAGTTTTTCTGTGTTTTAAAGTATGCAGGGTGTATGAATAGCAGCTGAAATCCAGTTTTAAGATGTTGTGGTACCAGCTGTTGAAGCAAATGAAGGTAGCAGCCAGCATTAGGAATCATGTAATGTTTAACAGTCCATCCTGTTTCTTAATTTGGCACCAAAGACATTGCAATATATATAAATAATCGTCTGTCACTCCATCATCCCACATCTGTGCCTGTGCTTCAACAGGAACATAAGAATCTAGTACATTCCTAAATTGCTAGAGGTTAGTTTAGGCTCTTTGTAGAGACACTTCTGAAGTCTAGCTCATGTTCCTATTTCTCTTCAGTAGCAGGGTATGCAAATGTATGATAAGAGAGTACAGGTAGCCATCCCAGTTAGTTTCCTAACATCACTGGACTGCATAAAGGAAGAATACAAGTTTTAGCAGTGTGAAGCTGGCTCAGGCACTCTGGGCATGCAGAAATATAAATAGCATAAAACTAAATCACAGCCATTTTTTCCTCAAGTTAAAAACAGATTGAGAGTTGTTAAATACTCTCAATAAAAAAGATGAATTGTGTTGGGCCAAATTTCAAGAGAGCTAGCAGTGTATAATTTGACAGAGCTGGAGAAGTTCTCTAGGTACACAGAAAATATACTGTACAGGTCTTTTCTGCTTCAGAGACTGTGGCATAAGGTTATTCAGGAGCAGAATTTAGGGGGACAATCTATGCCTCAGAAAATACAGAATGCTGTTTTAAAAGTTTATGTTCTCCATGATTCCTTGACTCTTCTTCCAGACTTGCATCCAAGCCTACTGGTGCCTGCTGGACATTTGCTTCCTGCAGGCATTTGAGTAATTACGTTTTACCAGCACAAACGCTTTGGGAAGTGAAGGCCCTTTGTTCTTGGGTAACCAGTGTTTGCGCCAAACCCGCTTGCCTGGGAGCTGGGGCAGAGTACCAGAAGCATCTGTCACATATCTACAGTCACCGTTGTGTCCCAGTTCGGGGCCTTCTTGGTAAAGTTGCAGTTCTCCCGTGTTCACAAGCCCCCTTCGCTGCAGCTGGTGCAGTTAGCACTTGCTGGGCACAGCCAGTCGCTCTGGGAGGCATGTGCAGATTGTCATGCCTTGGATGTAATCCCTCTCTGCTGCTCATGCTGCAGCCAGGAGCCCTTAATGACATGCATCGCCACCATCTATTCATTAAATATCCTGTGGTCAGAGGCAGAGGACCCCCTCCCCCCCCACAGGAATTTGTCAGCATGTCATTTTAAATATGCTAAGATTGCACTTCAGTAAGTGATTAAAATGAATTGAAAATAGTCAAGAATCGTTATCCTCATGTAAACACATATATAGAACTCCAGCAGAGACGCTTTGAATTTGTTTCTTTGTCTTCCTTTTTTTTCTATCAGTGCCATATCTTTCTCTTGTAATCAACATCTGTCTCAGCTCCCATGTCACTCCCCCATCTCCCACCAATAACTGTATCTAGTATTGTTTATATTCTCTCTTGGGTAATTTATTTAGTTGCAAGAGGCTATCATTTCGAAGCAAAGTGTTACACAGTTTCTCTATCAATGCAGTTATTCTGTGGCAGATTTTTAGTTCGTCATCTGATGTTCTGAATGGCACAAGAGTACAATTTGAGTGCAGCTTCTTCACAGTTCCTGTTTAGAACATACTATATTTTTCTCATTTCAAGAAAGTCCAATCTTCTCTTTGTAACAGGAAAAACAAAGTGGTGATGAAATTCACTTTAAATTTGCTTACATCTTTGTAACTTTCAAATTGTGCACATCCTTTTAGGTAAATATTGAGGAAAAATTAGCCTTTTAGGCCACGTGTTCACAAAAAGCTTCGTAACTCAAGTGAGGTAGCTCTCTCAAAGCTGATATCAAAGGAGGAGAGGAACTCTTCCTATCCCTCTGCTCGTAGTTTCCAGATATGTCTTGAGCAGAGGAGGTATTGGAGGAGGTTTGTCTGGAGCAGTTTCCTCGATACCTTGCAGTTTTAACTCTCACTCATAGCAAAATATTCTTACTACTGTTGCACTTCCCTAAACCCTAAGAGCCTGAAAGCCGGAGTTGGGGAGCTCTGGTAGGCACCGCTAGGGCTTTAACAATCAGAAAAACCAAGGAGTTAGGGATCAAGCCCTAACTCAAGTCCTCAACTGTCTGTCTTGGTTTTCATGTACACAGTGAACTCAACTGTAGGGACTCAAACGGGATCTGGGAGTCGGGTTGCTGCTGCAGTTTTCACCTCTCCCTAGTGAGGAAGAGACTGCGGCTGCTTATGTTCTCGACTCCGGGCTTCCCAGCTCCACAACAGCGTGTGAGGACTTGTGGAAAGAAAGAATAAACGAGTTAAAAAGACACACTCACTACTAATTCTGAGTATTACATTGATAGGTGTGCACCAGTGTAATATGTAAACGTAAATCGCTGAGCTACTTTTTATAGTCGCTCCTTAAGAAGATAAACAAGGGGGAGATACATGGATAATTAGGAAGTAATGAAGCTTGTATATATAGAGCTGCAGAAAAAAAGCTGAGGGGATCACAGGAAACAAAATACTATCTGCAAACTGTTGAATCTGCATGGCCCGTATTTGAGGCATCTAAAGCCCTGATTTTTGTGGGTGGGTGTGTGAGAGAGAATTTTTTGTGAAAAGTGGGGAAATGTCTGTCAGAGAAGTGGAAAAAAATATGTAGCTAGTACCAGTGCTCAGAGATGTGGATGTGCTATAGCTGAATTTCTTTAGAAAGCTTGGCCATCCCATGAAAGTCCCCAGAAAAGTATTTTAAATTGGTTTGGAAGTGATTGAGAATGTTAGCTCGTAAGACTGAAAGCTGGCCGAAGGTCTATAAACAATGTCTCATGTTAAAAGGTAGTGCATCTGGATGAAAATAAGGGTCAGACTGGATATTCAGTTAATATTTGGAAGTTTTTTATTTTATCTCTTTTTCCACCTTTGACCTAGCAAACTGTAAAGATAGAATGATGTTGCCTGTATTTCTCATTTTCTAATTTACCATTTCATTGAGAGCTTATGTTTTGGAAGAGAAGAACAATGCCGGGACTTGAATAGAGTAGGATGTGTGCGCCGTTAGGGCCCAGTTCTGCAA